ACGTGAGGAAATTCTGTCTTTTTTAAAGACAAAAATTGTTGAGGCGAAATACCCAAAAAGAAGTTTGTAAAAAATGAATCCGCCTCAACAATATAGAACTTATCTACAACGTAATGATTGTTTTCTTACCAAGCAGCGCTTGATTTCGGGCCACGGCGATCACTTTGGCTCCGCATGCGTCCAGTTTCTTGACCAGATCGCGGCCAATCCCTGCAAAGAAAATTCACCGTTTTGCTATTTTTACATCGTAAACAAAACATTTTCACCTTGACTGGCTCCCGTCACCAACGTGCGTTTTCCTTTGAAGTTAATTTCCATATTTCCAGCTCCACTCTTTTCGCTTCAATGGCAGCAAGTCGCTTCGCTAGATTCACTTCCACTGACGACAACTGCTAAGCATTTATCACTGTTAAGGTCAAACCATCAAGGCTGCTAATTGGTCATACAGGGTGTATGCAGCCACTGGCACCGCGTGCTGTTGTCTTTGTTGTTTAAATGGCTGTATTGAGGCTGTAGTGAATCACGATTAGTTGGATAAGAACGCCATAATCCGCGGCTTTAAGTTGGTTGCGTCATTTATCCTGTGGATAAGCCGCAAACGTTCCTGCTAGGCGTTTTCGCCTGATATTCGTCGTGCGTTGTTTGTTATCAAGCAACACACGCGGCTTTCGACCTGCTGGTGATAAAACTAATAAAAACCCAATATTTTGTCCGAGTATGTGGAATTTCACCGATTTGATGCAAAATTATTCAGATTTTCGCAGCACAGGATTAATAAATGTGATTTTATGTATGGTAACATCGTGCATAATCTCCCCATTCCTGCTCGAAATAGATCTGCATTACCCGGCTAATAAAAATATATCGCTATCACTTCATTGGTTCCACCACCTGAATGTTAAGTAGCTCCTAAGGTGGGAGGATTGATAAGCACAACAGTGGCGCATTTTCAAGTAATTGCGCGAAAAAATCTAGTACGCATCAAACGCTGCAATTAATTTCCCAGGATTTTTCCCCAAACACCCTCTTGACCTGCTTGATTAACCGCCAAACCGGATTAAATCCTTAACAAGGTTTCTCTTCCTTTGACTTACCCAGATGATGCTTCCAAAGCAATGCAGCTTCGAAGCAAAGCGCCAGTGGGGTGGACGAAGTCCAACAAAACAAGTTGCACTTTTTACAGCAAAATACATCAAATTACTGTTGTAACAACCTGAATTTGTCAGGGTCTTTTCCGAAAACAACCAGTCGAAATAAGAAAACACTCCCCATAGCCCGAGCTGGCTGAACAGCAATTTTCAATTAAACAAGTCGAAATTACAAGCAAACAAACCGGCATTAAACGAACGCCCCTGAGCGAATCTCCAGATCTATTTTACCTGGCTTCAGCTCCAGAAGAATCTATATAAGGGCTTGCGGAGACCGACTGGGCACTTTTGCCCTCGAAATGTTGCAAAAAGTCGTGCTGGTGAGTCTGCTGGTCTGTTGCCAACACGCTACAGCCTACAAGAAGTTGGATTTTAAACTCATCACTGCCGTAAGGCATGGTTTGGACCGTTCCCTGGACTATATAAATGATAATGTGTATCGCGTTAATGTGGACTGTGTGCTTGGGGTCGCATTTGTAAGAGGTGGGAGATTGGTTTCTTGACTTTCACTTTTTACATAAATCGAACGCGTTTGCGACCTAAAATTGGTCGATCTACACATTTCTCCCTGATGTTTTTCAAACTGTTTTTTTGACTAAAGCCTGTGTCCCATGCATCCGTTTATGCGATGGTACGATGATACGAAAGTGTTTCTATTGGTTGGAGATCTGTCAATTCGTCTGCCGTCGTACAAACTTTCTACGAAGTTTGTACGACGCAGACGAATTGACAGATCTCCAACCAATAGAAACACTTTCGTATCATCGTACCATCGCATAAACGGATGCATGGGACACAGGCTTAAGAAGACTTTTAGAGCGAAAAACTCGGTGTTTCGCACCCATTTCGACTTTTGTTGAACCTCTTGCGGGCTAAAAAATGTAGCCAAAACCTAAAATCTCCACTGTTCTCCTGACAGTTGGAGGTACCTAATAAAGGTGTGTTTTTGCAGGTTTCATGAGAGCCGCATTCAAAAATGGGACGCACATTATGGACAATAGCTCTGAACGATTGCTCGACAAATGTGAGGACATTATCGCGAAATCCAAGTGGAGATTCTGGGACGATTTCCAGAATGGGCGCAATTGGAGTAAGTTCGAACTGTTGCGATTAAATAATATACGGAAAGTCTCTTCCTTAGAGTTTAAACACCTCGTCGAAGCCGACATCTGGTCAAAACCGATGAGCTTTGAAAAGCGACTAATTTTGTTGCCGTCCTGGTCGCCCAACTCGGGCCCCCTTGTAAGCCCGAACTCTGACAAGTGCTTGCAAGAGATAATCAACTCATCCAGTTCTTTGCAAGACGTTTCCGCTCCATGTGCAGTTTCCACCGATTGTTGGAACTTGTTCTTCCGCAACGGCGCTGGCAGTGGCTACTATTTGACTCACAAGTACAAAATCAGCCACTCTATGGGCATCACCAGCCTTGCACTTCTCATCGTTTCACAGATTGCTTCTACTCCAAATCGCCAGGGCGCGAAACTGTTGGCTCAGTCCAGCAACGTTCCAGAGGCAAACGCGCGAAATTTGCTCCGCCATAATGTCTGAAATAATCAACGCCAACTCCAACGCGAGCATCGAAGAAATGTTTGATCTGTTCTTGGAGCAAGGTTGCCTTCACTTGGCTTGAACTAACAAAGTGAATAATTGCGCGTTGTTTTCAGTTCTCCTCTGCGGCTACGAGGGATTCAGCGAGTTCATTCAGAACGACTGGCTGTTTCACATCCTCAAATCGCAACGTTTCTCTGGCTGCTTCGTCGACCACCTCACCGACGAGCTGAAATCGCGAATCAAAAGAGACGTGAATTACTTCGAGGATGGCTGCAATGACCACACCACCGGCCTGGGTGCGGCTGTTTTAGGCCTATATTACGTCTACATTGTAAATGAATAACTTACCGCTCATCAAGGATTTAGAAAATATACTCAAAGACCGTAACGGAGGAGTTGCGACAGTTTTTTCACCTAATCAAACCAGCAGGTCATGCATTTCCTTTGCCCATCTCCATGGATATACAGCTTGAGTGAAGTGAAGGACATGAAGCTCATTTTCCCGGTAATACTCTACACTCTCACAGTCCCCAAATTAGTGAAACCGACCATCGATCTAAATGCAGCCGAACTGCAGTATCTGGCCGATCACTTGACGCCGGAAGAGTGCAGAAGACTGGTGGCAGCGGCTCATTTTCACAGCTATGACGAACCGAACGCTTTGGACCAAGCTGGTGAGTATCCGCGTGGACCTTGAGGCAATATTTTGAAAAAGTTTAGAGCGCAAAGTGCCAAAGGATATTTCCTGCATCGAACACCTGCACCACTGGAATTCGCAGTCGGGGGAGGGCAAAGGCCAATCTCACGAAGCGTTGGAGCACCGGCTACGCCAAATGGGCAAAATCCGGCTGGCGGACTGGCTGGGGAGGACGGTTTTCCATCAGTTGGGCGCTGACTTGAAGGAGAGCATTGAAGAGGGATTAACGGATCTGGCATCGGATATTGAAAGGTAACACTCGGAACGGGACGTTCTCAATCTGCAATAGTTTTTCTAGTTCAGAACTGCCGGCTGTAACAATCGAACCACTCGTTCCCAAAATCGAGAACCCCCGCACTTACAACGCATTAGATTACTTCTTGTACTCGCTTGCCGTGATGTTAACTTTAACAGCGTTTGGGCTTTGCCTTACACTGACTTGGGAGCGGATTAGAGGGAAAATCAGGAAAAGGTTCGGTCATCAACCGAAGCCCGCAATCGATCTTGGAACTAACCCATGCATTTTCAGGAATCTTCGCAAATATAAAGCGTATGATTTTGTGGAATCCGATAGTTCTGGTTCAGAATATGAGGAAGATAAATTCGACGTCAGAACATTTACGTCTAGTTCGCACATCACTAGATAGAAAGTCGCGGTAGGATAGGCAGTAAGTGAAACAATTTGTCCTAAAAATATTGTATTAAAACGTCATTGATTCATTTTACTTCTTTGACTTGGAGACCTGAAAATAAAACGAGTGTTGTAAACCTCGGCTCTGTTGCACATGAATAGCGTGGATGCAATTTACACTACAAAGGTTCAACTTCAAGTTGACCAATCATTATCAATAAGTTACAGCACAACAATAAATTAAAAGCCTGTACTAACCTGGTGGAAGAGACTGTTTCAATTTCTCGGCCTTCTCCTTGTCAGTGATAACAAGCGTGTACAAGAATCTTGAACAGCGCACCTTGAACTTGGTGTTCTCCGCATTCTTCTTTATTTTGACGGCTAAAATTTCGAAATCAAAATAAGGACAATGATACTGTTCTAATCATGTATTATAATTTCACTTACATTTAGCATCCTTCCTCCTGGCTGTGAGAAGGAAGTCCTTGATTTCCGTAAGTTCTCTCGGCTAAAAAACAAGTGCAAAATTAGCCCCGCAGCTTGAATCTTTCGCAACAACATCTAGCCCCTTTTTAAAGATATTAAGCCCCAACGTGATGCGTGACCTGAATTAATAAGCTTACCATTTTGAAGTATGTTCTAGTCGGGAACAGGCACTGAAACAAGCAGAGATTTCTATCAGAATTTTCAATTAAAACCCAAAAATTCTTAGAAAACCCACAAAAGCAGGAAATTAGAAAGCAATTGCAATATTTTTCATTGCAAAAACTTCATTTGATTTTGGGATGAATACAGAACAGAATTTAAGTACGGACATTTTAACCTACCTTCTTGTTTTGATTCCCTGCGAAAAGAAACTCAAATGAGCAAGTCAACTGTCAATATCGCAGACAGCAGACAGCTTTGTTACTAGATTGGTACCAACATTCGCAGGTAAAGTGTCTAGGAACTTTTGGTCGACAACGTATAAAAAAATTGTGCGTTCCTCGGAATGTTAACTTTGATTAAATTTACATAGAAATAATCTCCAAACGGAAATTAAAAAAAATAGACCTTCTAGATCTGCGTTCACTTTCTATGTATTGGCAATTCCTTCAGTTAACCAGTAACGCAGTCTGCGATGAAATATAATAAAAAAAACATTTATGATTTCATTATTTAAATCCAGGTGTTATAAGGTGCGTGCTTAGTTGGTTAAATTACTCTTAATTATTCAAATCGAATAATATTTCCGGATAACGGACTAAACCGACGTTGTCAAATTGACTGACCCTTTCATTTAAAAAACACGATAACAATGGCAGTATGCTAGTATTAAGAGGTTTTGAAACTCGACTTGACTACAGCAGTTGTTCGTATGCGCTTCTCCTGCAGATATTTTTATTAGGGCTTAATAGACCTTCGTTCTAATGAACGAACAAACTTGGTCACATTGGCAACAGCCATGTGGGTGGTCTTTTAACTGCTTAGCTAGAAAACTTTTGGACTACCCACATGTACTTAAACAGAGATCTCTTGAGCATAGAAAAGGACATTTTTTACTTGATGCTAAGGAATAAATTGCAGGGTTTTTTCAACAAAAGAACAGATTTTGTTCGTGTCAAAAAATGTGTACCTCCAAGCGGGTCATAGTCTGTCTCTTTCGTTCTCACAGAGCTTTTCGTTCGATCCTTGTGTCTGCTTGTGTGGTAAAATTACTTAAGCACGTGTGTGGCCTGCCATTGTTAGTAAATAATAATAGCTCAATGTACATGTTGTTTTGAAGTGTTTTTCACTTTTTCCGATTAATGGTGTTGGAGTTCCGACGGGCATGAGGATGTGGCCCGTAGTTTTCCTGTTGATTTTCCATGTAATTTCCGGAAGCGCATCCAACTATGCAACTGGAAATGCGTCAAGTCCTGGGGCCCACATTCCACACAATCGGCATAGAGATCCCTTCAAAGGCCAAGCCGACCGGTACTTGGAGAACTCCTTGTACGAACAGAAACCTCTCTACTGCAGACGGGATGCCGAGTGTCAGCCCTTGGAGACTACCAAGTGCATGGGCGCCAAACTGCCCTACCAGTCCACCACTTTGGACCTCATCGATCTGGCCAGTCAAGCCAAAGTGCAGGAAAAGTTGCAAATATATGAGCAGTACTTGCGGTACATTCCCAAGTGCTGGGCAGTGATTCAGCCCTTCCTTTGTGCCCTCTACATGCCCAAGTGCGAGAACGGACAAGTGGACCTGCCCTCTGAACAGATGTGCAAGATCACCATGAAACCCTGCAAACTCATTTACAACAGTAGTGTGTTTCCCGAATTTTTTAACTGTGAAGATGAGCGACTTTTTCCGCCCAAGTGCAAGAACGACATACACGAAATGAAATTTAATATTACCGGACATTGCATGAATCCCCTTATTGAGACTGATAAACCTGATTGGTGGTTCAAGGGTAAGTGTTGAGTAAATTCAACCAAGAAAATTATCATGTTTTCCGGCGAGTAATTGGCATTTTTTAAATATTCACGACCAAGTGGTGAAATTGCTACTATCAAAAGGCCATTCCTTGAAACTAATCGATTTTTAGGTCGTTGTTCGATAAAATTTCTTCTTGACGTTTCGCAAGCACGAG